AGCTAAGTGACCAAACAGCAACACACAATGAAACTTCAGACACAGTTGTGACACAACAACCAAGTATTGACATGAAACTAATTCTGGAATCATGATGGACAATTTGGCCAAAACCAACTGTTTCACCAATCACTTGCGCAAACTGACCGACGTTGTCCAAGCACGACAAGATAATCCCAAACCAACACACACACACACAATTTTGTAAACACTTAATGACACACCGTGGTCTGCAAATACTGCCATTCGTTTGTAACCAAATGTATGTAAATTCAACTATGCGCGCTTTCTTAAAGAACATGTCTCATCCTGCCTTTGGTCCAAAAGGGGAGGGGGCAAGGCGGGCAAAAAATCGCCGAAGAGACTTAGGCTATGGAATCCTGTTCCTGCCATCATTAATCCGTCTTGGGTTGCAAAGTTGGACCACTGTTTGAAACCAACCGCTGCCGGTTCCGGGAACCAGGGTTCCGGGCAAGGTTCCGGAACTCAGGGTTCCGGGAACCAGGGTTCGGGGCAAGGTTCCAGGTTCCGCAAACCAGACTTTCAAGCAAGGTTCTGGGAACAATGGGTTCTGGCTACCTTTTGGGTTCCGGGACGTCAAGGTTCCGGGATCCCCAGGTTCTCGGCGCCAGGAAGGTTCCGGGCACACTTGGCTTTCGACAAGGTTCCGGGAACCTTACCATGGTTTCGAGCGGTTCTGGAATCACCGGAACACCAATTTTGAAACATCCTGGAAACCCAGAGTTTGGGGAACGAGGGTTCCGGCAAGGTTCCAGCAACACTGGGTTCCGACAAGGTTCCGAGAACCACCGCGGATGCGGACCCACAGTTTGGATATACTTCCTGGATTATGCCACAGGTTCCGGACAGGGACAAGGTTGCGGAACAACAATTTTCAAGAAGCCCAGCCCAGGTTCCAGAGAACCAGGGTTCTGGCAAGGTTCCGAGGTTCCGGAAACAACCCAGGGGTCGGATATACGCCGTGGGTTGTACCAAGGTTCATGCTACGGACAGGGTCCCAGAAAACCAATTTTCAAGGAAACCAAGGTTCCAGGACCATATAGGCCCTATCAACGAGCAATCGCTGACAGGGGGGGGGCACAGCGTAACAATAAATCAGCGCGTCTCGGTTCCGCAAACCCAGGATGCCAATATACGCTGTGGGTTGTGCCAAGCTTCCGGAAACGAGGGTTCCAGGAAGACAAGGGATTCCGGAAATCCCCCAGCCAATCTTAGATGCTTTGTGGCGGGTTCCGTACATGCCGATTCATGTTCGTTTGCTCAGTGGGCGCACAGCGTCGGTCGACTGACCTGTTCTGATGTTGCTGTAAAATCTTCTGTTTGAACTGTTCCGATGTCGCATCTACCAAAGCACATGCCATATCAAGCAATTAAGTTCGATGCCTTGGAATACCTAAATATTGGCAGCAAACCTGTGTGAGGCTTCTCGAAGCCAGGTAGATGATTTTTTGAAGCTAAGTGACCAAACAGCAACACACAATGAAACTTCAGACACAGTTGTGACACAACAACCAAGTATTGACATGAAACTAATTCTGGAATCATGATGGACAATTTGGCCAAAACCAACTGTTTCACCAATCACTTGCGCAAACTGACCGATGTTGTCCAAGCACGACAAAATAATCCCAAACCAACACACACACACACAATTTTGTAAACACTTAATGACACACCGTGGTCTGCAAATACTGCCATTCGTTTGTAACCAAATGTATGTAAATTCAACTATGCGCGCTTTCTTAAAGAACATGTCTCATCATGCCTTTGGTCCAAAAGGGGAGGGGGCAAGGCGGGCAAAAAATCGCCGAAGAGACTTAGGCTATGGAATCCTGTTCCTGCCATCATTAATCCGTCTTGGGTTGCAAAGTTGGACCACTGTTTGAAACCAACCGCTGCCGGTTCCGGGAACCAGGGTTCCGGGCAAGGTTCCGGAACTCAGGGTTCCGGGAACCAGGGTTCGGGGCAAGGTTCCAGGTTCCGCAAACCAGACTTTCAAGCAAGGTTCTGGGAACAATGGGTTCTGGCTACCTTTTGGGTTCCGGGACGTCAAGGTTCCGGGATCCCCAGGTTCTCGGCGCCAGGAAGGTTCCGGGCACACTTGGCTTTCGACAAGGTTCCGGGAACCTTACCATGGTTTCGAGCGGTTCTGGAATCACCGGAACACCAATTTTGAAACATCCTGGAAACCCAGAGTTTGGGGAACGAGGGTTCCGGCAAGGTTCCAGCAACACTGGGTTCCGACAAGGTTCCGAGAACCACCGCGGATGCGGACCCACAGTTTGGATATACTTCCTGGATTATGCCACAGGTTCCGGACAGGGACAAGGTTGCGGAACAACAATTTTCAAGAAGCCCAGCCCAGGTTCCAGAGAACCAGGGTTCTGGCAAGGTTCCGAGGTTCCGGAAACAACCCAGGGGTCGGATATACGCCGTGGGTTGTACCAAGGTTCATGCTACGGACAGGGTCCCAGAAAACCAATTTTCAAGGAAACCAAGGTTCCAGGACCATATAGGCCCTGTCAACGAGCAATCGCTGACAGGGGGGGGCACAGCGTGACAATAAATCAGCGCGTCTCGGTTCCGCAAACCCAGGGTTCCAATATACGCTGTGGGTTGTGCCAAGGTTCCGGAAACGAGGGTTCCAGGAAGACAAGGTTCCAGGAACACAAGGGATTCCGGAAATCCCCCAGCCAATCTTGGGTGCTTTGTGGCGGGTTCCGCACATGCCGATTCATGTTCGTTTGCTCAGTGGGCGCACAGCGTCGGTCGACTGACCTGTTCTGATGTTGCTGTAAAATCTTCTGTTTGAACTGTTCCGATGTCGCATCTACCAAAGCACATGCCACATCAAGCAATTAAGTTCGATGCCTTGGAACACCTAAATATTGGCAGCAAACCTGTGTGAGGCTTCTCGAAGCCAGGTAGATGATTTTTTTAAAGCTAAGTGACCAAACAGCAACACACAATGAAACTTCAGACACAGTTGTGACACAACAACCAAGTATTGACATGAAACTAATTCTGGAATCATGATGGACAATTTGGCCAAAACCAACTGTTTCACCAATCACTTGCGCAAACTGACCGACGTTGTCCAAGCACGACAAGATAATCCCAAACCAACACACACACACAATTTTGTAAACACTTAATGACACACCGTGGTCTGCAAATACTGCCATTCGTTTGTAACCAAATGTATGTAAATTCAATTATGCGCGCTTTCTTAAAGAACATGTCTCATCTTGCCTTTGGTCCAAAAGGGGACGGGGCAGGGCGGGCAAAAAATCGCCGAAGAGACTTAGGCTATGGAATCCTGTTCCTGCCATCATTAATCCGTCTTGGGTTGCGAAGTTGGACCACTGTTTGAAACCAACCGCTGTTGGGGATCTACGTCGGCTTATTTCGCGTGAAACGGTTGTGCCTCACGATCCAAAATGGATAAAGTCGCAATTTTACACGAATTCTTGAACGGTTGCATCTGACGTTAAAATCTCAGTTCTGCCACAGTTATTGCCATTTGACTTTCATGCCACACTTGCATCTGAACTTTCAAAATACACCAGACCATCATTTCGTGCGAAGGGGCTGCGCCGGGCCCTGCCAAATTTGCATTTTGCCACGTGTTTGGATGTCCGACCTGCGGGATCTCTGTCTCCACAGACGGTTGCTGCGGGCCCAACGACAAACAAGACCCGCATTTCGCCACACGTTTGGGTGTCCGACACGCCGCAGAGGGTAACGTTTCGTGAGCCACCGCCTGGCTGTCGCTGCCGCCAGAGAGAAATAGAAGAACTGGAGAAGTCTGATTTTGCAGGAGTTCACATACAATTTGATCACTGGAAGTTGGCTGAACTCCTGTGTAGCAACTCCTGTGTAACAATTTCTGTGCAAATTACCTTGCAGGCAGGAGTCTTGTAGGAGTTCAAGTAGAAGTGGATCACCTGCAAGTCAACTCCTGTGTAAATGACATTTTTCAAGTTTTGTAGGAGTTCGAGTTCCCTAGAAGTTGATCACCTGTAGCTGATGTAGGTGACGTTGTCTATGTATGTTGTAGATGATGAGGATGATGTTGTAAGTGATGTAAGGTTAGATAGGTTTGAAGATGTAGGTGATGTAGGGGATGCAGTGATATAGATGATGATGTAGGGCATGTATGCGTTGTAGATGATGTATGTCATGTAGATGAGGCTGATGGAAAAAGAGTGTGTAGGTGATGTAGATGGTGTAGGTGAGATAGATGATGGTGATGATGATGATGATGGTGGTGGTGACGATGATGATAATGATGATGATGCAGGGAAGATGGTGCAGAAGATGTAGGTGATATGGGTGATGCAGAGGATGTAGTGATGTAGGTGATGATGATGATGATGATGATGATGTAGGTAATGTATGTGTTGTAGATAAAACATGTCATATAGATGAGGTTGATGGACAAATGTGTAGGTGGTGTAGATAATGTAGGTGAGACAGATGTAGGTGATGATGGTGTAGATGTAGATGTAGATATAGGGAAGATGGTCTAGAAGATGGTATAGAAGATGTAGGTGATGTAAAGGACATAAGAGATGTGGATGATGTATGTTAGGTAGATGAAGTGAAGAGTGAGGCGGACAGCAGTTCTTTGGGAAGAAAACCCTTTGCACGAGCTTCGGGCATGCTGGCCACAGTATTGCAAACGCTTTTGGAAAAACGTTTTTTCATAGAGTGTTTGTGCTGTGATTGCACCTTGCACGCCCGACCTCTAGAGCAAAAAGGGCGGGGCAATAAACATACTTCACTCATTGCGTGTTTGGCAACTGTTTTTGTTTCTCGCTGTTGGGGATACTCTTTGGGTTTATTTTTGTTTCAAAGCAGTTCAGATGGCTCAGAACAAGCCGGAACAGGAAATGCTGACGCTCTCCTAGCTCGTGTTCTCGTTTGGACACTTCAAAGCGTTTCAGCGTTCAATTCCTGTTGTTTTGTTCCGCTAGGCAGTGGAGTGCCTGATGGATTGGACGGCGCCATCAATGCAGTTCCGACCTAAACCCTGCAGGGGTCGTGGGAGTCGTGGCATTTGATACTGGTAGGTTGAAAGATGCCTCGGATGCTTCTTTCTTGTGCTGTGGACATTTGTGATGTCAAAATTTCACTACTATTTCATGATTTTCATGGATTCTTGTCACGACAGTGCAAAAACCGATGCTGCGTGCCTGAGACCTCTGCCAGAAGCTCGCTTCAACGTGACAGATGTGTGGCACCGAGACCGAGACGATAGGATGATCTGATATGATCTGATATGATCTGATCTATAGGATGCCCAATGGATGCTGGCCGTCAGGTGATGGAACAAGTCAAGAAGGCCTGAATTTGTCAAACAGTGCGTGGCGCAATGCATGACATGTTGATGACGTGCTCGTGAATCTCCTGATACTGAAGGAGTTCGTCCTTTGCGCATATGATCTCACAAATATCTCATATGATTTCCTGTAATTCTGGGTCCATGCGTCGGGTACATGGCTGCAAGGAAATCGGTGAGATGAACCAGGAGCAGCTCAACCGGGCTTTGGCGACTGTGATCGGACAGTCGAATGCGATGAAGAAGAATCAGAGGCCGAAAGCAGCGATGTACCAGTCTTCAAGTATCTTCAAGTATCTTCAAGTATCTTCAGAAGTATCTTCAAGTGATTGAAGAAGTGCAAAGTCGTTCATGAACAGGAGGTAGCGACGCGGGTTGAAATTGAGACGAGACATGGACCCAACAAAAGCTTTGTTCTCCACAGGTACTCTTATTACTCCTGTTTCAAACAATGATGAGTTATTGTTTCTGAATTTAATAGCAACGGCTCTGGGAGACGGGAACTCGACATCAATAGCATTTCCTCCATTCAATTCATGTAGCTATACGACTATACGCCAATCAAAGCAGCATCATTTAAGACCTAATCAGAACTACATGGTGCTGACATGTGTCTGACTGTTTGTTTTCTCCGGCTTCCTGGGCCAGGCAAATCAAGACTCGTTTGGACCACAAGCAATGCAGTGAGCAAGAAAAGAATCGGCTGCAGGACAGCTGTGCAATGAATCAGCTGCTGCGCCTAGTTGAGGTTTGAGGCTTTTAGACGGTTGACATCGGACCAATTAGTTCAGGGGTAGCAAGTACAATATGAATCTGAAGCTGGACAGCATAGTGGTTTGGTCCCAGAGGATCATAGGCTCATAGGTCCTCTGGGAAATTTGCCAGAGATAGAAATGATAGAAGAACGAATCAGGAAAGTAAAACGAGATTGCGCCATTCCAACTGCTGCTGGATTTTCCACCAACAGTACATTACAATTTCCACGCACATTTCCTTCTTTCTTCAATGCCCTGCAGGACATGCTGTTGGATTTGCAAGAGAAAGAGGCAGGCTGAACATATCTCATTAGTTCTCATCAATGTTCACCCGTCAATGACAAGCACAAACTGAAAGGCCAGCTATGCCAGTCTTTCACAAGAAGCCACTGGGTTCAATGTTGGACCAATGTTGGATACAGTTTGCTTTGAGCTGGCTGCAAACTCCAGGCATGCTTTCTGGAATTGCAAACTGATGTGAAGCAGAAATTGGGTGAAGAGGTTGGGCGAGTGATTGGGGTCCTTCAATGAGTGTTTCATGTGACCATGTTGGTCCCGCAAACATGATCTTCTAACGAGCGCTGTCCCAGGTGTTTGTTGTTGTGGCAGGTGAATCACTGCCCCACCAGGAAAAGCCTGACATCCCACTTTCCTTACACCGCCTGTTTCAAGCCACAAGCTGAAGACAATTTTAAATGGGTAGCTGGCCGTGGAGTTTCATGCTTCGCACACGGCTGCCCACTTGTAGGCACCACCTGCCAGTGCTGAGCAGGTGGGATTTTGGGCTGCGTACCGGCGGTACCGGCGTATGTTCAGAGTAAGAAACAGCATCACTTGGCATCACTTGGCATCACTTGTCCACCAGAGGCCAGGTCATTTTGGGGGACAGCACTCAGCGGTGGAATCAGTGCCCTAAATTCGGGCCCGGGTCGATCGGGTCGAGCGCCTCTTCTCTGGTCAGGCGGTTTGTCATGTGGACACCCTCTTGAAGCAGATGGAGAAGGCCGGGTTGAAACTAGGCTGCTGTGCAGTGTTAAGTTGCTTTGATAAATTCTTGTTTGGCCATGTTAAACATGTTAGTCACAGGATTCACAAGAATTCCGAATTCCACGAATTCCTGTCATGTTTAGATCATTTTAGATCAAAGCCGTGCAGGAATTGGCTCTGCAGAAGAGCGGGTGAGGCGCCTTGGAGGGCACGAGCCAAATCAACTCGAGGTCTTCCGAGCAAAAAAAGCTGCGGCATGCTGCGACTGCAACGCTACTTTTCGGTGCGTGAGTTCAAATGTGTTTGCATCCAGCGAAAACTCCAAAGCAGTCAAAAGAAGCGGTCTTGCCAAAAGGGGAGCGTCTCCATCTCGTAGGATTTCTGCGACGGCCGCCCTTGTGTGCGGACAGGCTGCCCAGTACAACTCCCACCTATGGAACATAACTCAAATTCGAAAACTGTAGCCACAAAGAATTTAGCAATGAGGTCGTTTGCTACCACCTCATTGCTTGATACTTGAAGATAAGGGCCGGTGGATACAACTGCGCTCAATGAAGCACAAAGGTACAAGCAAAAACATTTCGCAACAACCCTCGCCTGGTGAACTGGTAAATTCTGCGGAAGTATTGGTTGATGACAATCGATAAGGTTTCCGTATTCCTCCGGATTTCAACGTGTTGTCCGCCTGTTCTTGCGAAACTTTGGGGTCGTTGGAAAACCGCACTCAATCCTGCGAAGAAACCAAAACGCGGAATCCCTTGGGAAACTATGTTTGGAAACAAATCACCGAGGATTGAAAGGGTAATTTTCTGTGTATATATATATATATAGTATCATATATCGCATATATCACATAAATATAGAATTGATTTGAAAGCTGTTTTGTATGTCAAAGGCAAGTCCCAACGAAACTATACGAGACTACTTGTGTAGATGTTGTAGCTTTTAAGGAGTAAATGAAGACGAAGATAGGTCTTTTCCATTTTCTGGATTGCAGCGGCAGTTACACGAGTCACAGGAGTCAGCCGAACATTCAAGAGAACCCTGTCCTAGGAGAAACGACGCCCACGAAGAAAGTCTCTACAAGTGCTCGGGTTAAGTCGTATCAGCTTCTAAAAGTCGTATCGGGAGGCCGTGCGCCTGGAAAAAGTTCAAGTTTGGCATCACCACAACTTTTAGTAATTGAACGATTTCATTGTTTTGGGGCCGTGCGCCTGGAAAAAGTTTATTATTTTTGTATTGCGTTGATTTTTAAAACTTATATGCGATCATTCTTTCAAGGGGGCAAACGCTGGTTGCTGCTTGCTTGCTGCTCGCTTGTTGCTTGCTTGCCTGCTTGCTTGCCGCTGCTTCTTGCCTGCTGCTTGCCTGCTTGCTTGCCCGCTGCTTGCCTGCTGCTTGCTGCTTGCTTGCTGCTGCTTCTTGCCTGCTGCTTGCCTGCTACAAAGAATATGCAAACGTTCGACGCTGCAGGCAAACAACTTTATGGTAGAAACACGTTGGCTGACAATTGACGACATCGCGAGATATTGAAAGCTGCGGTGATCCCTCCAAGAGGCTCAAAGAAGTGCGGTTCTCGAAACTTCACATCGCTGCGTATGTGGAATTTCTGAAACATTCATTCATCATTCCAATAAGTGCAGGGCACGACAGTGTGAAAAGCAAAGACATAATGCGTGAGTGCACAGTCCAAACTTGAAACAGTGTGCAATGGATGGTGCTAATCAACAGATGTGCTGAAAAACACATCCAAACACCCACACGCACACATGCTTCGATGTGCAGAACACGTTAAAGAAACCTATCGCAGCTGATTTTTCAGCATTCGATCCACCAGGCCCAACCATATTCTAAGTCTTTGGTGCGGGTATCTACACTTCGAATGAACATTCAATATCATTCAATGCTAATGGCAAATGACAACTGGAGCCTCAGCTTTTGCCGCAGCTACGTACAGTTTCTTAGAATGTTGCGATTGTGCAAAAAGGATCACAGGAAGGAGCATCGAAAGCGAGGCTTAAAAGGTGCAAAAACGAAGCAGGTCTTAGGCAAAACCCATACTGCAAATTACTGTACCAAGTGTGTAATGCTTCCAGCTCTGCAACTGCAGCATCCACTTGCAAGAACTCCACTATGCTATCCGTGGGGCGCTTCACACAGAACTTTGGGCGGTGCAAACAACATTCAACAACCATGCAAGTTCCGAAACCTGCCCCCTGCACTTGCGATGCAGAAGTGCAAGTAGCGCACTCACACCATTCTACTTGGAAGACAACAAGTCAATGGCCATTTCAGGAACCTAAATTGGAGGTACCTACCATATATAAGGCCTATATAAGGCCTATGTAAGGGAATATCCCCACAAAATATGGCCTTATATGGTACAGTACCTCCAATTTAGGATCCTGGAATTCCCAGTGAACAAGGGTGCAAAACGATATTGCCCCGTGCTTCCCAAGTTGTAAGTACAGGAAGGAAATGCAAAACAATGAATCTGAACACATTGCCTTCCCACGGGGCCCACGGGGCCCACGGGGAAGTGCAAAACAATAAGCACATTGCCTTGCCACAGGGATGGGGCCCACAATTGAAGTTCAATGCGAAACCGTGTCATCATTGTTTTCCACAGTGTGCACGTTGGAAACCTTCTGGTGCAAAACCCTCATCGAAAAGGTCGCTAGAAGCAGCAGGTTTCCGATGTAAAATTGACAGCGGTGTTCAGCGAATGTCAAGTGTTATTTCTACACATGCTGCTTTAGAAGAACATGGTGTGAGAACATGTGACATGTTAACACCGGAAGTGGGTTTCACAGTAAAGGAGTGACAACATCTGCATGTACCCAGCGGAATGGAGCCACGAAACTCCAAATGAAGTACAACCACCGTGCCAACTGCCGTGTGCACTGCAGGAACATATGTTCGGGTTTGGGTTTATCATGATCGAGGCCTTGATTCTATTCCGATTGAAAATTATCGAAGACTTGGTGCCATCTTGTGGTATTTCTATTCGATTGAAATGCTCTAGCCATTCTGATACTTTCGCCCAGAGCCCTTTCTTGGATTTGTCCTTGCCCAGGGGTTGAATTTCATTCCACACACCCTTTTACGCTGCATGCGCAGAGAAGCTTCATGCGGAAAAGCGCGTGCAAAAAAAAGAGAGGACACTGAGGACACGATTTGAATGCGGTGGTGCTTTAAGCCATTTGGACCACAATATGGAGTCTCGCACCGACCAAAATAATACACGATATACAGATGATATACAAGTGTTTTAGTTCACAATCTTTTTTTCGTCGCTTTGAGCTTCTAATTTGAGGACAAAGAATGACATTAATAATCAGTCATTAATGCACACATCTTGGACCATGAAGTGTTTCCTAGGAGCCGCCGCCTGAGGTCCTACCACCTCCGCTAAATTCTTCACTTCGATGCATCCATTTTATTTACACCACCGTTTACTAAATTATTAGGCTTCCTTCCGGGCCGAACCATCATTTTTCATCAGAACCACATGGTTTGCCAAGTTTGCCTCCTCATTTTAGCTACCGGAATGGGCCAACCCCACCTCACGCATCCATGTTCGTCACATAATATGTGAACATGAGTGGCTAAAAACAGCCAGATGCCCGAAGAGAACCTCAGTAGATGGCCGAAAAAACGTCAAGTTAAACCTTTTTCGCTTTTCAGCTTTCCGTTTTTCCTGGCCGTTCCAATTAAAGCGTATGGTGTTCAAAATGTTGGCAGAAACAAAAAAGACACAAATACACAGTTATAATTTAGTTATAATCAATTATATAAAGGATCACGGGAGCCATCTCCAACAAACAGCATCGAGCGGATCATGGGCCGGGTTATGGGTTAGTATGTTTTCATGCCGTGCATCGAAAAAGTACATGGTTATAATACCATGTTATACCATGTTATACAAGCTTCTTTGACATATGCATTAAATCAGGGTGATATTCAGTGGTAACCGCCCTTTCAATTACCAGGTCGCTATTGCCAACACACATTGGACGTCCTATGAAAGCGTATGACAAAGAAAAAATGGAGCGGATCCAATTGCGTGACGATGACTGGAACCAAACAATGCAAAGAACGAGTATCTCACCTGGCAAACACAAAGGTCTGACAATTGGATTGGAATTTTGTTTCCCTGTGATCGTATCGGAAGGTAAAGCCGTCCCATGACAAAATCACATGATTGTTTGTCCCGCCGTTGTCCGCTCCAAAAGTGATGCAAGAACCAAGGAGTCCAGCGGCCAAACAAAAGCCGTTTGCCAAATACCCAACTGATAAGGGAAACACGAAAGCAAGGGCCAAAATAGAAAGTGAACAGGCTACAAATGGCATGTGAAACCAAATGGTGGTGACGATGATGATAATATGATGTGGACGGGGTGACCCTCTTCAAAGTCACTTTTCTACGTAAATTACCCCGGAATTCAGCGGTGGTGCATTTGTGACATTTGTGGTTGTGAAAATGTTTGGACACCCTCCGTGAACAATTTGTATGATCCGGGAAGTGGGGTTGAGAACCATAATTGCACCAACCCTGCGAAAAGGTAGGGTATATCCAAAATTTATGGTTTTAATGCCCACGTCCGGTTGATAAACCGCGCTGCGATAAAATAAAACAAATCCCGGGACGGATTGGCAAGTCATCCCCATAAGCAAGTGGAACGCGTCTTCGCTGCAATTTGCGCCAATTTGTTTCCTGATCTTTGTTCCCGCCTGATATTTTCAATTTGACTTCCTCTCAGAGTCCTGAAATTGAATTGTTTTCTTGCTCTTTGTCTCTTTGTTTGAAACATGTTCTAGTTCACGCGCATCATAGTCTCAGCCCAGTCTACCCATTACAATTTGACCCATCCAATCATTTCAATCAGAGTTCGAAGCACTCTGCGTTGCAACCTGTCAGCCGAATGCGTTGCACCTTCATCAATGGCAACGTTAACTTCACAACCCCCAAAAATGGCAAGAGACGTGAACGTATCAAACAACTGCAACCTCAGTTTCAGTGCAACATGCCTGTTCAACAAAAAGGTGCCGGGTTCCAATTCCAGTTGGCTTTTGGACACCAGGGTCACCCACCTGTGACCTTGCAAGGCCGTTTCAGTTTCAAACTCAACTTGACACCTGAGGTATATCGCCTCCGGCAAAGCTGACAAAGATATTTACGGCCCCTCTCAAGGGTCATAGTGTGAGTGCAATGCAGGTTGGGGTGCAGGCCAGAACCAGAAACAA